ATCATTTGTACTTCGTTCAGTTACGTATTGCTGTGGCATTACTTTAGCCCAATTTTATTAAAAAAATCTGCTTACTCACAAGTATTGTTGTCTTGGGTTTAAGCTCATTTTTTATATAGGTGTTTGAAGCAAAATACCAATTAATTTTGACCAATAAACTACCTATATAGTTGTACATTATTTGATATCTTCCAGTAATTCAGTAGATAATTTGTAAATCCTAAATTGAACGTATCTTGTCTTGCTTCTACAACAAAAAAAAATCAACAATGTGGTGAAATACTTTTGTGTGTGAGAAATTCTTGTGAGTATTTAAAAGCTAAATGATGCGCAACCTACTATAATAAAAAAATAACTACCTATACTAAATAGAGACTTTTAAATGTGTATGTATTGAACTTTACTATTTTACTATTTATATTTAGCTCTTGTGACGCAAGCAAGTGAAATAATAAGATTAATTCATTAATGGGTCAAATGTAGAACAATTGGACAGGTTAAGATTTTGCTAAATATATACCAAAAAAAACCATAAAAAGTATACACTCCTACATATAAAAACAGCACAGAAAAAAACTGGCACCCTTAATATATTACTTACAAATATGCTGAGATAATACTGATCGTTTAATACATCGTTTTACTGCATCAACTCTTCAGAACCAAAACCGCTAAAATTAATCCGTTCGTTTGAATAAAAGACAGTTGGAACTGTGTGGACGGTGTGGCCAGATTGGGCGATTTGTCGCAATTTGGGCTACTTTCAAGATTTCGGCGACCATTTTTTTAGCAAAAATCATAAAGTAAATTGGGCATTTCAAATCAAATTATGAAATCAAAAATAATGATCATTGTCTGTCAGAATCGCTTGTATCGTAAAGTGTATATTAATAGGCCATTACAACTCAAAAGAAGAAGAAGTTTAGTTTCTCCCAATATCTCTGGTTTCTCCGCACCCTGTTCTGACACTAAACTGGCGCTGCGTTCAGGGCGTTCCTAAAGTCCCTAGATATATAAAGTACCGCAATTACCGCCATATTGGCGCCAAAACTAGCGGCAAATTTAAAAAAGAGGCCAACATTTCGCTGTTTCGGCTTTTTAAACAGCTGCTTTTTCCAGCGCCAATATGGCCGACCAACATTGACAGGCAAGCCGTAAAATAAAATATTTATTAATTGTAATAGAATTACGTTTATTATCTACAGTTTACCTTCATTTTAACGTAATATCAGGTTGTATATTAATTTTCAATTTCATAAATTTAATTTTTTAGGCCTATATATGTTAAGAGGTTATAAACGAATGGTTTCCGTACAAGTGTTTTTCATTTGTATTAGCATTTATTTTATGTTACCTTTTAGCGCAAAGTACGCCAACAGAAGTAAGTTAATAGGTAAGAAGAAATAAAGTTGGAATAACATTTAGCATTTTAGTACTTAATTCAGTCGAAACAAACAGTTGGAAAAACTTTGTTTGTTGATGAGAACGGGATACCTATACCATAAGTAAACTTTCACTATTATACCAGTTATGCTGTAGTTAGTTTTGACAAATAAGCATGATTTAACGAAAGTCTTTGGAACTATGAATCCAGGAATAAGCTACAAACTTAAATTTGAAGGCCGGCTTTTATACGAGAAAATTTTGAACCATGGTTGAAACAAATAAATGTAATAATTAAATTGATGATACATACCTGCTATTTTTGAAATATATTAATATATTGATAGAAAGGTTGTTTTAATTGGTATTACTTCAGGTAGTTTTGGCATTTTAGGTATGTAATTGTGCACTTAATTTAAAAATAACTTAGAAAGAAGCTTGAAACGCATAGGAGCTCTTTATGTATGCTGTATAATTAAGGTTTGTATGTTATGGAGTGATTTTTATACAACAAATTTATTATTAGTTGAATAAAAGCAAGTTAATACCACATAATACAATTAAAATATATTTTGCTCTGCAATTTAATGTTATATTTTTAAAACAAGTGTCATAATGTTTAAGTATCATTATTATACAAAAATTATACTGCTATAAATTTAACATTGAAATAACATTGAATCACATTTTTATATTTGTAACTGACAGTATAAGACCAAATTTTTAAATATAACTTTACATGCTTATATTATATTGTTTACTTTTTATTAGTAATTACAATATGAACCAAAAAATATTAATTACTATCAATAAATACATAAAAACTAATCTATTTAAGTCCATGAAAATAACTATATAGTCAGCATATGCATAAACAACATTCTTGTTAGGATCAAATTTATTTGAGCTTTTTTCATTGTTTTGATTAATATCCGTGTTAGTCCTTGTTAGTTGGTAAAACCACCTGAAGCGATATCATCCAAATCTATATATGTATCATAACATAACATATTCTTTTAAATAATTATCCTTCCTTTGGTCTGATGATAATATATTGTAGATTTATCTAAACTTCTTACTGCAAAATGTTGAAAACTAAACTACACTAAACATTTTAGGGAATGATTACGTAGAGATTTCACTTACACTTAGCATCCTTTTTAAAAGATATGTATGGTAGTTTGCAAGTAAGGTCTTTGTCTTGTTCTAGATTAGCTTTCTAGAGGTGGATCTCGGCCTGACCCACTGCGACCTTCTCAGATCTATTAAGGTCTTGTCTTGTTCTATAATGAAGTTTTATGTACCAATAGGATATACTACAAATAAGATTGTTAAAAATATTCACTGGAACATAAATAAATTCAATCCACTACCTAACGTGTATTGAATATCGACGATGTTAGAAAACACATAAAATGACGGCCTTTTCTTGTAATACACATTTCTTCACTAAAGATATCGACGCCTATACATTATTAACTAACAAATTTGTAGCATTTTAGTGGCTTTATAATTATTTTAAAATATGTGGATAAATATTTTTATTCTGAAAATGACAGCTTCTCAACATTTGACATGACAAATTCAGACAAATGTGACAATTAAACAGTCCTACCACTACAGTTTTTCCCGAAATACCCCAAAAATCCGCCATTTTGGCGCCAATAACATTGAACAAACCAATTGCGGTACTTTATATATCTAGGGACTTTAGGCGTTCCGTGTTCTGTTAATCTTATTTATACCAGAGATTTATACCTGTGATTTATACTATAATATATTTGCATTTGTGTCGCCTGTCGCATTTAGACTATGGGTAAATGGGCGAAATATGAAAAAAAACACAAGAAGGAATGGGAACGTGAAGCCTTGTTTAAAGGTAAGTACCAAGTAAAAACAACATTTCCCGTAAAAGTAAAACCCATATCCTGTTTCTGTGGTCGTTTGGGTTAGACTTTGGTAGAATATCATGGATTTGTATTATTACCTACATAACATAACTTATAACATTTTTATTCATGTTTAAGCAGGGTTTTATGGAAACGTAATTTAAAATTTTATTTTCTAACCTTACTTATTGCATTTTGGTGTTATCTTGCTATTTAGAAAGTAGACATGATGTTACCCCCCATGGGACGGTTGTTTTAATTATTATTGGTTATTGGCGCGTTGATTACTGGTTGGTTTGGTTATGGTTGGTAGAAATAGAAAATTGTTGTTATTGTAGCTTGGCTCACATCTAATCCCAACCCCAATTCAGATGTTTCCAGCTATTGCAAAGTGTGTGAAACTGGATTGAGGTCCCACAAATCTGATCTAGAAAAGCATGCAAATACCTCTAAACACAAACAGCAAGCCTGTAAGGTGGATAAACGTCAATTACCCCTTCCAAGTTTTGGTATGTTAATAACTTTCTGCAGTGTATGTTTTTTTATTTTTTTTAGTTACATTAATTTTTACTTTTAGGTATATCTGTAGCAAATAATTCCATTAAAAAAAAAGAAATAATATTGGCTTGTTACGTAGCTACTCACACAACTATTCGAAGTGTCGACCACCTGACAGACATCATTAACAGCTTTAATGATAACGAACAGACAACATCGTTTCGATCTCAACCACCACGAGAGTTACATCTTCACAGGACAAAATGTTCAGCCATAATCAAGAATGTGATAGCTCCATCCTTACTGAATGAATTAATTGAAGACGTAGGTACTTCTCCATTTTCTATTATTTTAGATGAGTCGACGGATGTGTCCACCAACAAATTATTAGCCATAATGATAAAGTATTATTCTCAAAAAAGAAATGATGTTGTTACACAATTTTTATCATTTATTAGTGTAGTTGAAGCTACTGCTCAGGTTTTGTTTGAAAAAGTATGTGAATTTTTTGAATCAATTAAATTGCCTCTAAAAAATCTGATAGGACTAGGTACAGATGGGGGATCTAATTTATGCGGAAAAAATCATTCTCTTTTTACCCTTTTAAAAACTAAATTTGAGCTAAATAATTTAGTACTTGTAAAATGTATATGTCATAGCCTACATCTCTGTGCTTCAAAGGCCTCGGAAATATTTGCTGATGAAATTGATTTCTTACTTAAAGAAACTTATAATTGGTTTCAAAATAGCACTCTAAGACAAAGTAAATATAAAGAAATATTTAGTTTAATAAACAATGATAGCAAATTTACTAAGATGACAAAATTATCTGGTACACGTTGGTTGTCGAGATACCGAGCAGTGGAGAAAATTTTAGCCCAATATTTAGAACTAGAAACATTTTTTACAATAAACGCTAATAAAGAAAGATGTCACAGTGCACAATTATTGAGTAATGCTTATAAAAATAAAACTAACAAGGTTTATTTAACTTTTTTATGTCCAATATTAAAGCAGATATACTATCTTAATTTATATTTTCAAAGTGCAAATGTGGATTTCTATAAAGCATTTGAGGACGTAATTACAACAATATGGTCATTAGCAGGACAAATTATTAAGCCACTGATAATTATTCATCTTGATAAGAATCTGGAGCTTTTAAGTAATGCAATGAAATACGATCAAAATTTTTTAGACCTAGACTCTTGTGATCTTGGTTATTATTTTGAGCAAGAAATAGATGCAGCCCAACTAAATTCTGAAGAAATAATAGGTATAAAGAAAAAATGTTTTCAATTTATCAAAGATCTTTTAACACAATTAATAAATAGAATGCCTAATCATTTAGATGTATTTTTACAAATACGAAACTTTAGTCCAGGTCTGATTTTAAACCAAAAACGAAAAAAATTTGGAGAGCTACCTTTAATGTATGCAAATCCAGGAACCTTGACTGACCTAGAGGCACAGTACCGAAATATACTAAATATTAACTGGGCGGAAATATTTAACGGAAACATCCCAGACGACGCGGTAACTTTTTGGAAAAAAGTTGTGACGCAAAAAAACGCAGCAGGCGAATTAATGTTTAAAGATCTTTCTTTATTGGCGTTTACATTTCTCAGTTTGCCGTCCTCCAATGCTGTTGTGGAAAGAACATTCTCAATAATGAATCTGGTCAAATGTAAAATCAGAAATCAAATGATGCTAAATTTATTAAATTCGATAATGGTAATTCGTTATTATTTTTATGTTAGGCAAATATGTTGCAAATCTTTTGAACCCACGACAGATATGTTTTCTAAATTTAATTCTCAGGTGATGTATAATAATAATAAAACTACTCCCTTAAAACTATCAGAAAATGTTCAAGATTCTACTGATGATGACGATATTGATGATGTATTAACATTTTGTGAACAGCTTTTGTAAAGCGGTACATATAAGTATAGCTAAGCAATAAAGAATGATTTAAGATAACCGATTGTTTTTTTTTCTTATACCATCTATTGGTTAGGATGTAAACTAAAGCCGAGCGAACCACCGCTGGTTATGGTTGACAGATAAACAATGCTTTAAATGTCATTTAGCTACCGATCGGTTGACTATTGACGTTTAAAGCATGTTTATCTGTCAACCATAACCAAACGGTAAATTGCTCGAAATCGCCTTAAAGTGGCGATTTTGGGCGATAAATTGGAGTCTGCGTGGCGACTACGCCGTGAGAAATCTGGCCACACTGCTAAAAACTGCAAGAAATTTACTTTCCAGTATATAATGATATATATCAGTATCCTTTATCCGCTGCACTGTAAACGGCTATCAGCGCGCAGCGGCGCAGAGCAAACCTCGGACAGGTTGACTAACGGCGACGGTATCGTACAGGTTTTGTGCATCGAAATCGACCATAAGGTCCATCTTATTTCTACAATCAATCAATTAATTAAGTCAAATACAGGAGTCAAATTTGGACTTAGCATCAGGTTAACACGTTTCACTGGCAATATGATATGCCATTCTATCACAAATATATTTAGAAGTTATATTTCATTGGATTTCGTTTATTTTCTCTACGTATAAAAACATAAAGGCGACATAGAGTCTGAGCCCAATCTCCGTAAAAAAATGACACGGAAAACAACCTATAGGAAAAATCAACTTCTAAAAAAGGGTCGACCAAAATGGGGTTTGCGGTCGGGCCCGTTCAGACGAAACCATTTTTCATTTTATTCGTTTGTCTGAGAAAATCCGACGAATCGCGGGAAATTGAAAGAGGAAACTTGGCATTCGTATTTTCATATTTATGGATGGTAGGCGGCTGTTTCGACATTGTTAACATAAAATTAATGAGTTTTTATTTCAATGCGTCATTTCCTTTTTAATTAGATATAACTTATAGGACTACTCTTTAATTTTTTTTGCTACAATACATTAAGTAAAGTGCCAGTAAGTATTTTTAATTAATATTTATAATATAATATTATATTTAAACGATACAGCCACGGACAAGCAATGTTGGTAAATGCAAATCGGTTTAAAAATGACATTTAAAACAAAATGTGTTGTATTTCTCTTCTTCTTGCACAAATTTATATTATATTGTTCGAAAAACTTTAGTGAAGATTAGGTCATTGTGCTGTGATAGATTGTCTGTTTTTGGATATTAATTTTTGTAAATTGTTTTATGATACATGTAACAATGATGAAGGCTTTATTGTGGGCCGAAACGTTTGTCTATAGACTAAATAAAGTTTTTTTAAACAAAATGAAAACATAATTTCAGTGTTTTCGGAAACTAAACGTCCCAAGAAAATTAATTTAAGAATATATCGATATGAAGGTTCAAGAACTTAAGATTATATTTAAATTTATATTATGTGATAGATATGAGGGTTTATTTAGCTGGAAAACCGATTTAAATCAGGTTTTTAAGTGAATGAGTTCTAATTATTAACGAAATATTTCTGCCTAACTCCTGTATTTGTCAGGAAGGGATTGCTCAGTGATCCATGATGTGACACTCTCGAATTGTTGTTTGTTAGGTAGGGATGTGTCGTAGATGTTCAAGGCAAGAAACTCTTTCACTCTTCTCACTCTCGAACCAAAAAGTTAAGAGGCAACAAAGCAATGAGATTTTTGAATGTCCGGAGTGCGGTAGACAAATAACATCACGTATTGGGCTTTTCAGTCACAGAAAGGCTCATGAAAGAAAACGCCTTGCGTGACCATCTTCTGATGCGTGTCAAATACTCGTCAGCGAGTAATGGCAGTATGGTATGGTATGTCGTAGATGTATCTTAATCTCCTATTCAACATATTCAGGGCTCTATTATAGTAGACAGTAAAGTGCAGGAAAGAGGAATAGGTGTTAGATACTGGTACGACGGCGGTCTGTTCATAAAAAGACTCAGGGCAAAAACACGTATAAAATTTATCACAGAACTTCAATACGCTGTTGACTGCGTTCTAGTTGCAAAGACGTTACAGCAATTACAAGAAATGCTGAACACATATACTTGGGCATACGAGGCTTTGGGCGTTAAGCTGAACATCGATAAAACTGAAATCATGTGCACTCTTCCGGAAAATCATAACAGTATTATAAAAATCAGAGAACTACTGGAATATGTAGCGGAATTCAATTACCTCGGCAGTTTGATTTCGGAAAAGGCCAATATCAACTCTGAAATTCAGCACAGAATTAGCAGCGCCTTAAGAGCGTTCTGGAAATTAAAAACCGAATAATCCCCACCATGTTATATGGAAGCGAAACCTGGATGACGTACCGCCGGCACACGATCGCATTAAACAAGTTGCAAGAGAGATACCTTAAACAACTGTTAAGAATCAAATGGTACCACAATGTCTCAAACGTATCAGTCTTTGTAAAAGCTACCTGCGAAGTCATGATTACTAAATCCCGCTTAAGATCGGCTGGCCACGTATGCAGGATGCAAGAAAACCGCCTACCGAAATCTCTTCTTTACGGTGAGCTTGTAGACGGTAAGAGGAAACCGGGTGGATAACTCAATAGATACAAGGAAATTTCCTATGAAAACTTAAAATGGATCAGCATGCAGAATCAGTGGGAGGAAGTAGCGCACAATAGAGAGCAATAGACGCAATGGAGAATAATTGTAAACTAAGTTAACAACGACAACCAAAAAGTAAAGAGGCAACAAAGTAATGAGATTTTTGAATGTAAATGTATCGGGCTTTTCAGTCATAGAAAAACTCATGAAAGAAATCAATTTCCTGCCAAACTTTATTAACGAATGTTAGGACGGAATACAATCTTAATTAGATTATTGCGGCAGAAATGTTTTTTTTTTAAATTATTTCAGTGGCGATATACCCAGCAATAAAGTAGCTCGTAGTAGCCCGTAGCTAAACATATACGGTTAAATTTATCGTTAAGCCCTTTGAATTCAGAAAATAATATAGATTTATACCAATATCGATCGCTCTATTTTTGATGTTCCTTTGTGCGGGGGTAATAAAAAGGCTGATGAACTTGTATAAGCCTCGGGCATCTTTCCAGATTTATCCAAGGGATGTATGGTCAAAATGTTTTGAACTTATTGAAAAAAAAACATAAAATTTTTGGAATGATCACAAACACAAAACTTATGTAAAAACAAACAGAAAAATAAATGTTATCTGTTTACCCGCGTTGATAATCGTCATGAGGCAAGACTGTTACTTCACAATAACACTCCGTAATAACAGTATCGTCCACTGTTACTGTCATATTACTTTGTAAAACTTTTTTACCGATTTTGTAAAACTTTTCCCCTGATAATTTTTTTTATTCTTTTTACTTTTCTTCGTTTTGCGGGTTAATACATAATGGTGCTGTATAAGCCAAGTCATTATGCTTATAAAGTATTATATACCCTTATAAAAATTATTATTATTTGTTGCTTAAACTTTCAAGGCAACTGGATTTATTCACATCAGTTATTAAATATACCGGGTGCGTCTCAAAAGTGGCTCACCCCTATAACTTTTTTATTTATTTAGATAAAAAAAACGAGATTTGGTGTGTTAGTATGACATAAATTAGGATTGATTAACGTATTCAATTGTTTTCGGTCACTTCCTGTTCCACCGGAAATGACTGCAACTTTTGATTTTTAAATGGCACCCTCGGTATTTTTTTACTCTATTTGATAGAAAATGACACTCTGAATAGAATGACATATCGTATGTCAACTTTTGACATTCTCGCATAAGGTTTATTTGTAATTTTAACATGTGGTTCATAACGACAATTTGATTCGAAATACCAAGTGTGTGGTATCAAATTATTCGGAAAAATGCTTTTTCCAAATATGCTAATGAACCACCCTCGTTCCATTTGAAAAAATTGAGATATGATTAAAAATACGATTTAGGTATCTTTTAACCGGCCAGAACAAGACACTAAAAATATTAGAGGATCAAATCTATTTTTCCAAGGCTCCTTGATTAAGAATTAGTGTTTTTAACATAGCCATGGCACTCTAGATTGACATTTAAAATACGATTTTTTATTAAGCGAAAATGTCAAAAGTTGACATATGATATGTCATTCTATTCAGAATTTAATTTTCTATCGAATAAAGTAAAAAAAGCCGAGGGTGCCATTTAAAAATCAAAAGTTCTAGTCATTTCCGGTGAAACAGGAAGTGACCGAAAACAATTGAATACGTCAATCAATCCTAAGTTATGTCATATACTAACATACCAAATCTCGTTCTTTTATCTGAAAAAATAAAAAAGTTATAGGGGTGAGCCACTTTTGAGACGCATGCGCACCCGGTATAGCCGTTATACAGGATGGCCCAGCAAGCTGCTGGCGAACAGAACTTATATATTTTATGTTACGGCTAAAAGGGAGCTATTTTGCAAACAAACAGCACAACCACCATCGCAAACTAACACCTAACCCACAAAATAACAGCGTTTTTGCAAAATAGCAAATTTTGCAAAATTATCCATCTTAGCCGTAGCATATATACTGAATATCCTGTATAAAATTATATAGGTCAATTCAATTTGTAAGTATGATAATTTTTCTACGATTATTTTAAGGTCTACAACATAAGTGAACGGGATGTATTTAACAATGAGAAATATTTTTATTTCAAAAATGATAATTAATTTTATATTCATCAAACATACGTTTTGCAAATTCTCCCCCTTAGTGTTTTTTATCCCTGAATACTTTTACAAAGTTTGATTTCCAATTTTGTAAAACTTTTACCCTTATGAAATTATTATTTTTTGCTTATACTTTGAAAACTACTGGATTTATTCTATTATTTCGTTCCTCTAAATTTAAACTACTATCTATCTTGCCATATTATAAATGCAATCTACAAAGCTATTCCTAGGGTCTAAATATACCAGTGGCGTGCAGTACCATTTACAGTAGGGTAGGCAACAGAATCAAAAATATGAAAAAAAACTAAAAAAACGTATGTATTACATAATAT